CTTTTAATGACTGCTAATAATCCAATACTATGATAATTTATCTTCTATTACTGTCTTTGGCTAGTATTGCATTAGCCCAACAATAACAATATGTCACTTGTCACATCCCATTTTGGCACCCCCTTAGTCAATCTAGAGTGTGACATGAGAAGGAGAATCTGAATAGACATTCTTCTTAACAAACCCCATTATGAAATTATGCTATTAGAATTAGATAAGTAAAAAGTTGTTTATTCAAACTATTCTAACATTACTAATCATAACACATCAAAGTTTTCATAATAGGATTCATATATAATATATACCTCAAATAAATTGTACATCTCAAATGAAATATAGAGCTTTACAAAAAAACCTTTAAAATTTACTTACATACCCAAAAATCTGTACAGCTATCACTCAGATCCCTTTGTACACTCAAAATGTATGTACACCAAAAAGAATAGTTAGCCTTTTTAGCCTAGTGCCTTACTGGCTCATTCTTCTTTCCTGCAATATAACCACTACTAATGAACTAGAATCAATGAAATACACAAATAATATATAAAAAATAATAATAACATTATTAACAATTAATTTAGAACATATTCATATTTACACGTATTTCAAATATTTTGAGTATGATATCATCCATCTTCTATACTTCGTACAACTAATGGCAAAGAAGCATTTATCATCCCTCAATTTCCCTTCATCATTGATGAGTACCAGGACAGTACGCAAGCGGCTGTCAACATCTCCTGAAACGATTCCCTCGCTTAAATGGTCCCTTGGGATGATTTCGATTCTGATATTTCATCCCAACAATGAACTTCATCTACTCAACAACCAATTCTGTCATGAAAATAAAAAAATCTGTAGTGATTTGCTATTAGACGCCTCAAAATAGAAATTTAAATGCAGGTTGATAGTGGTTGGAGAGAAAAATAGATACTTCACCGGCGAAGATGATGGAAGCTTATTTGAAGCTATGTTCATCAAATCTATAGCTCGATTCCCTGTGAAAAGTCCAGATTAGTTAAGAGTAGTTCACCTCAGTTAGATGGCGTTTGATCACCTTTTAGTCAAACAAATTTCGGTCTCATTTAAACGTATTGCAGGCTGCATAGAATTTAATTTAGTGACCGTTAACTTCGGGGAGGGACGGCTTGCTAGATCCTTCTTAAATTAGTTTTTTAGTGTAAAAATTAAAAATTTTGAACTAAAAAACTGTTTTAAGAAGCAGTAAGAAAGCCGTCCCAAACGGAGCCCGTTTGAGATGACTTTATTATTATTTCTTAAAGCAGCTTTATAGTACAAAAATTTAACTTTAGTAATAAAAATATGCTTTAAGAAGTAGTCAGAAAATCATCCCAAATAAAACCTATTGATATAATATTCATTAAAATAGTCAATGCATTATTGGTCTTGTGGTTTTGCTTGAATATATTAATAATTTTTTAATCATCAATATTTATTCTTATTTATCAAATAAGATCTTAACATTATGAATAAAGAAGTTTTATAAAATAAAAGTTACATATTTCTTTTAAATGTTCAAACTTTTGTGTGTGTGTTTTTTTTTAATCAATTGAAAGTTACATATATGCTTTAGCAAACTTAGAAGTTAGAAAATCCCAACCGACCAATCCATGATTGACGGCTAGGATTGATTCCACTTTTACATTTATTTTTTTATCATGATAATTGTTGACTCCCATCTTTCACAATCCAAAATTAAAATATTTTATTAACAAGAAACTATTTACCCAAAAAAATGCCAATTTAGAATTAATATATAGAGAAGACGGCTTATGAAAAAAAAAAAAATCATTCAATTTTATGAGATATCAATTTCAGACTTAAATCTATTTTTAGTCATGAGAAATTCTATGAATAATTTTTTTTTATTTAATCAGTTTTATTTTTCTTTTCAATCAGCAATCATAATTTTATTTGATTATTATTTATTACTTTCATACTATTTCTTAAAAAATTTTATGATAAAAACTATTTTTTATAACTAAAAAAAATTAAATTATCGATCTTTTATACAACAACTTCACAATTAATTTTATAAAAAAATGTAGTTGCCTTAAATAAATCCTTGAACATTATAGCCTGAACACTTAGGGGCCATGCTCCCAGCTACTAAGCCGGAGGATTAATCAAGCTTAAGGTACATTAAGATATCAACTTTATTAATTTGAATAAAATATCACGCCACATGTCAAATAAATAATTGTCTGACATGACATTAATTTATAAGTGACTTGAGCTAATTTAGTAAACAAATTGCTCTCCATGAATGCATAGGTAACTCATTCAAGCGCCATGAGACTTCAGCTTTGTTTGGGACGGCTTTCTTGATGCTTCTTAAATTAGCAGCTTTTTACTACAAAAGTTTAAATTTTTGCACTATAAAGTTGCTTCAAAAAGCAACTAGAAAGCTGTCTCAAACGAAGCCTTAAGCTTTCGTATGGGGGCAGCTTCTTTAATGTTTTTTAAAATAATTTTTTAGTACAAAAATTTCAAGAAATTTGGTTACTAAAAAATTGATTTAGAAAGCAGGAAGAAAACTATCCTAAACGAAGTCTTAAGTTTCGTTTGAGATAAGTTTCTTACTGTTTTAAAAAGCAGTAAAAAAACTGTCACAAACAAAGACTTTAATTTCAATTCATAAATTGAATTTTTATGATCAAGGGTACTTATGAGAAGATGGCTACAATTTTTTATAAATGTGACTGTAAATTTGTTGTAGAGGAAGTAATATTTTTAAAATCTTCAATAGAAAGTAGCTTCCTAGCACATAGATTTCTTAAAAGCAGTGAAAATGCAACGATTAAATAAATTGCTATTGCGGTCTGAAAAAAAAAGTAATAAGAAAGGTTTTTCAAATGGAGTAATTATTTTGTGCGGAGTTCGGAAGAGAAGAACCGTCCAGACTGTGAATGTACACATCGTGTACATGTAGTGTGTATAAAAATTTGATACACATTGTGTACAAATTTGTACACAATGTGTACACTCACATATCCGGATGGTTCTTCTCGTCCAGATTCCGTACAGAATTTCTCTGTCAAATGAAACCTAACAAAGGGATAATTGCAAGATAATTAAGGCTTCGTTTTGAATAACTTTTTTATTACTTTCTAAAATAATTTTGTAATACAAAATTTATCGAACGAAAAATTGTACTAAAAAAACTGCTTTAAAAAGAAATAAGCCTCAAAAGAAGCCTAAGCAGCTGCCTCCAGCTAAGAAATAACATTAACTGACTGCTTCAGCTTCTAACCCTACTTGAAACTAATTTCCTAACTGAAAGCAAACTACAGACACCTGCAGTTGCTAAGAGAATATAAAAGGCAAAAGCCACATGAAGCATCAGACAACAGCAAATAATCAAAACATAATACAGTCTTTAAAGAAGTCTTATTGGTTAGTTATCTCTCAGATCTATGGCGAGGAAGAGGATCCAATGCTTTTAAATTATATCCAAATTTTCCTTCGCAGTGAGCCATTACGAAGGAAGAAGACCAATTTAATTCAGAGATTCCGTTTCCAATGAGGTCATTAATTATAACATAAAATAAAAATGACTATTGTAGAGGCAAATGAATCAGGTTGAGTCTGATCAGAAAATAAAAAAGATCTATAATCTTCACATTTTCATTTGGATAGTTATTTGGAATAGGTTTTTGACTAATTTTAAGGTAAGAAAAATATTTAGGCTTCGTTTGGGACGACTTTCTTTTTGCTTCTTAAAGGAGTTTTCTAGTATAAAATTTTTAATTTTTGTACTAGAAAGCTGCTTTATAAAGCACTAAGAAAGTTGTCCCAACCAAAACCTTAGTAAAAACTAATGTGTATTTGAAAGATAAATTTCTTACTGTTTTTTCAGAGTTTTGCCTTTAAAAATTTGTTTTTGGAAAGCATTTTGAAATTGTAGATGAAAATGAAGTTTTTAAAAGAAAAAAAAAACATAAAATTTTTATTTTAGGGACTTTTGAGCCAATTGAAAGCAAATTCGTACACACATTACATACGTAAGGTTCGAACCTAAGACATTTTGATAAGTAGTCAAAGCTCTTAACCAATAGATTAAGGTGAGCTGTGTCATACTAGCTTATTTCAATAAGGAAACTAAAGGTATGCATATACGAAGTAGTAGTTAAACAAGTAGAGTTGAGCTCAAGTCACCATTGATTTGAAATTGAGTTTGATTAATTAATCAAGTTTCGGTTCAAATTCGAGCTTAATTTTTCGAATTTGATGTGACTCATTTACAATAAAATAGAAAAAATAATTTTATTTAAACAATTATTATACCGACATGATAAAAAGAACATAAAATTAAACTAGAAATAATAATAAATCATTTGAAATAAGGAAGAGAAATATAGTTTTTACATAATTTTAGTAAATTTAAACTAAATTTATTGAATTTTTTTACATATTGTAAGTCTGCTTCATATTACCATAATTTAAAGGAGTTTGCTCCTAATGAGTTGAGTTCGTGTTGGCTCAAACTTGAGTTGTTATCTCATAAAATTTTACTTAATAACCATTTATTGAGTCCAACTTGAGTACTATTAGGACTCCAGTTACATCCTGAGCTTTGACAAAAATTATTATGTGCGGATGTCCAACGTCGTCAAGAGACCAACCGGAATGCGAAACGTCTCTCCTTTGCTCTGTACCGTTGCTCGGTACCACTGACGTGATTGCACCTGATTCGTCTCCGAAGATAGAGCTGCGTCCGGCGTATGTACCAAATAATTTCTCACTATGGAGGCAATTCTATTTTTTCCCAAACTTGATCTTGCTAATATTGAATGACATGTATATGAAACAGAGGTTAATTAACAAATCCAAAACCATAAAATTCATCCAGAAAAAAATTTACTCTGAGGAAATCAAAGCATTTTTTTTTTCATTCTATTAGTCTAATATTTCAAGTAAAGAAATATTTTACCCACATATATAAAAATTCAACCTCAATATATATATTTTTACTTCTATGATGAGTGATGTTGAATTTTTGGCTGGGCAAATAATTACAAATTCAAAATACACTGAGATCATCGTTGAAGCTATTCAACTTCTTCTGCTTGACCATAGTGCTCTTACAATGGGCAATGGCAGCTTGAATTGCGCTTTGAAGCTCCTCCATTGATGAAGAAGATGAATTCGGCGCTGACAGCAGATCAGAGCATAGAAGACCAGAATGGCTTGGCGACGACCGCATGGAAGACGGGCAGCTGGCGGTGCTCTTCATTCGATATGGGCTTCGCAGGTTTCCGGCGAAAGAGTGGGAATAAGAGTGCGAGGAAGAAAATATCTCTGTTCGGCCGCCGGAGCGAGGAAGGGAAAATGCTTTCTTTTTCTGATGCTGGCTCGGCCTGTGTTGCAGAGAGGAGAATTTCTCATAGAGCGGCTTTACTTTCTCCACATACTTCTTTATCATTTCCTTGGCTGAGGAGGAGTAGGTGGTGGGTTTCTTGGAGGATGGAGTAGCGTTATGATTTGCAACAAAGGTGGGATCTTTCTTGTTGCCGCGGTTGAGAAAGAAAGAGGAGAAGCGGCTGGTGAAGGAGTAGAAGTTGCGGCGCTTGGTGGCTGAGTAGTCTTCTTCGGTTACGGAGCTTGGGCGGGAGGAGTCCGATTCGACGGGACCCTGGAGGAGGCCGAGAGAGTCGGCGGAGGAGGTGCTGCTGTTCGAGTCGCGGGAGACGGTGGCGCTCGTGGCGTCGGAGGATGAAGTGGAGGAGGAGGAGAGGAGGAGGGTGCGCACTAAGGACAGACGCGGGGAGAGATGCAGGGGAAGGAGTTGTCCCTTATAGAAGAGCTCGTCCGCAGGGCAGAGTTGCGCGGCGGAGTTCTTGGACGAAGGTGAACGGATGATTGAGAACTCGAAGTCGGAGGAGGAGGAGGACGAAAATGGAGGAGGAAAGGAGGCAGGGGTTCCTCCGCCGCCGATGTCATCTGAGTCTCCCATTATGAACGAATTCGTTTCATCGTATTGGAGAAAGGAGATGGAGGAATGGGCGGATGAGCTTCCGCATATGGAGTTAAGTACGTAAGGCAGGGTGCAGCGGGCGGGCATTACGTCGAGCACATGGGGGGTCGGTGAAGTGGTTGCTTGCTTGGGGGAGAATTTGGAGCTCGGGAGGCGAGTAGTAGAGGGATGTGGTGGGATATACTGTAGCAACTATCCACTTGCTTCCTCAGTATTTGCGATCGCTTTGTATGCATAAATTACTGTTTTTCGTCCAACGTTTTTTAAACAAGTAATGGAGTGTTTCCCCCCACCTGAAGTTGTTTTGATATTAAAACCACAAAGAGAGAGAGAGAAGATTAATACTTGAGGAGCTCCATTTTGTCTACAACTGAGGACTCCAATCTAAAAAGGATAGACGAACTCAGCCGATTTACAACAAACCACATGCTCACCATCAGCTCCATCCACGTGTACACATAAGAAATAAATCATAGTCATACATGTATACACTAGAGTACTATAAATACAGATGTACAGTAAACAACAGAAATCAATCTGAGATAGCCTATAGTGACTTCAAATCACCAAAATACACCGAATGGGTTATGATTGATCAGAACCTAGCAGCAGTTCTTTGCTCCACTATATCTCCAGCCATTTTACCATATGTCATCCACCTTGAATCATCTGCTGCAATTTGGACCACTATTGAAAGAAGATTACAAGTTTCAAACAGATCATGAGTTATTCAACTCAAAAATGAATTACATAATGTCTTAATGAGACAACACACTATGACTGAGTATCTAAATAAAGTAAAAACACTGGTTGATAAAATAGCAGCGGTAGGAGCCAGCCTTGACAAAGAGGACATAATTCTATACACATTAAATGATTTACCTCCATCATATCAGTCATTCAAAAGCACCATTCGTACTATGATACAACCAATCAGCCTTGATGACCTACATGCGTTTTTGATCAGTGAGGAAATTAACCTCAATGCGGAAGCAGCAAGACAATACAATCCCCCACATCAAAATACAACAATATATTCTACCAGAGGCAGAGGAAGAAAAGGAAGAGGTCGATTCAATTTCCAGAATACTCAACCAAACACTCAACCAGCACAATAGTATCAACTATGAATAAGAAAGGACATTCCTTAACCACAAAAAGACACAGATCTTACAACCACTAATGACAATCCTAACCCGGACTAGTATCTGGATTCAGGTGCCACAGCTCATCTCATAAATGATATTAACAGTCTCACGTTATGTGATACCATACCATACAATGGAACAGACACCATACAAATTGGAGATGTTAGCACACTTCCCATAGCCCACGCAGGAGTTGGGCTTCTCCCAACCCCCAACCGTAAGTTCCAATTATCTCAACTCCTTCACATCCCAAATCTCTCTCACAACCTTCTTTCCATTTATCATCTAACCAAAGATAATAACATTACCATTTCATTTGATGCTTTTGGTTTCATTGTCAAAGATATCAAGACAAACAAAACTCTGCTTCAGGGTCCAAGATGTAATGAACTCTACCCAATCCCAACCTCCACATGTATACATCGACCAGCCTTTCATGCTATCAACAATCACCAAGCTGCAGCTACATGGCACGACAGACTTGGACATCCCCACATTCGAACCATGGAAATCATCTCCAACACCAACAACCAACTAAAAATACCAACATCCTCTGTTTTATGTACTGCTTGTAAGGTCGCTAAAGGTCATAAGTTGAAATTTCTTATTTTTGTTTCCCGTTCCAAATTCCCATTAGAACTTATTCACTCATATGTATGGGGTCCAGCCCCAATCACATCATATCAAGAATTTCGTTATTATGTTATTTTCAAAGATAATTTTTCTCGGTTTATATGGATATTTCCCATGAAATGCAAATCAGAAGTGTCGTCAATCTTCATCATATTCCATACAATGATTGAAAAATAAATACCACATAAACTCAAATAATTTAGATCAGATGGTGGAACATAATATGTAAATCCAATATTACAAACATACTTACAAAAATAGGGGATTATACACCAAATATCATGTCCATACACCCCAGAACAGAATGGTATGGCCGAAAGGAAGCACATACACCTCATTAAAATAACAAAAACTATGCTAAATACAACATATGTACCATACTCATACTGGCCAGACGCAGTTCTCACTACATCATATCTAATCAACCGGATGCCATCTTATACGACTCACAACAGTACTCCATTACATATGCTATATAACAAAATCCATGAGTACTCCATACTAAGAACTTTTGGATGTGAGTGCTTCCCCTGAATTCCCCCACACAACAGACACAAATTGACCCCAATAGCTACTACATGCATTTTTAGAGGTTATTCAACATCTTACAAAGGTTACAAATGTCTAACAACTACCAATCACATAACCATCTCACGCCATGTAATCTTTCATGAAAACACATTTTCATTTTCTTAAACCAACATACCCTCATCACCACAATCCACCGTTCCAAACAACCCATTTCTTCTTACATCCACCACCCAACCCACCACAGCCTCCCTCACACCCCAATCACTTGTACCGCAACCCATAGCAACCACCTGATGATAACAAGATTAAAAATAGGATCTCTCAAACAAAAAATAATCCTAAACCTATTACACCAATATTTTCAGACCCAACAAAACCCAACCCATATCCAATTATATATCAAGAGGCATCCAAACACCAACACTGGAGGCAATCAATGGTAACAGAATTCCTTGCATTGCAACAGCAAACAACCTGGTCTCTGGTTCCACCATCGAAAAATAGCCCCATCCTGGAATGCAAATGGACATACAAAATCAATCTCCATTATGATAGCTCAATTGCCAGATACAAGGAAAGAATAGTAGCTCAGGGACATAAACAACAATACGAGATTAATTATCTAGAAAATTAAGTCCAGTGACAAAATTTCCAACCATTCAGATATTACTCATCATTGTTTTTAACAAGAATTGGGAAGTACAAAAACTAGATGTGGCTAATTCTTTCTTACACAACAAACTGACTGACACTATATACATGAGACAACCCCTAGGCTATGAAGACAATTAACATCTAGACCATGTCTGCCTCCTTCACAAGGAAATTTACAGTCTTAAACAGGCACAATGGTTTACAAGCTTCTCAACATTCCTACAACAAATAGGATTTCATCCAAATAAAAATGATCCCTCATTACTCATACTCTCGCAAGACGACTCCCAGGTGTACCTCCTAACATTTGTTGACGACAGTTTACTCACAAGTAACAACTCATCTCTCTATCTCTAGCATCATATTGAAATTGCATAACACATTTCTATGAAACATTTAGGCACATCCAATAATTTTTTTTTCCATCAACATCACCACCCGTAAAAACTCATTTTTTCTATCTCAAACTCAATACGCCATATCCCTACTTCAAAGTGCAGGACTCAATACATGCAAACCCCTCTCGAACCCATCTTGCACCAAATCACCACAATAAATAGCACCCAACCCCATTCTCACAGACCTATACACATATAGATAAATAATATGATCTCTTCAATACCTAACCATCACACAACCCAACATTACATTTCATGTAAACCTCCTTTGTCAGCACATGCACAACCCACAACCATATCATGCATACCTCCTCAAGAGGCTACTCAGATACATCAAAGGCACAACATACTACGATGTACCAATTTCATCGGGACCACTTCAACTACATTCATACTTAGATGCAGACTGGGCAAGCGACATAGAGATAAGGAAATCTACCTCAGGCTATTGCTCATTTGTCAGGACCACATCGATATCATGGAGCATCAAGAAACAATATACCATTACAACATATGGCTACGACAACTACTACAAGATTTCAAAATACCCATCTCGCATCTGACGGATCTTCATTGTGACAACACTTCTACCATCGCCCTGGACAAAAACCTAGTGTTACATGCAAGAACGAAACACATCGAGATCGATCATCACTTCATACGACACTAGATTCACTCAAACATCGAACATCATTCGAGTTCAATCGATCAACACCTGGGACCAGATCACCTACATCTTCACAAAGCATTTTTATACTCCCAACTTTCATTTACTTCGAGCCAAGCTGAAGGTTTACGAAAACCATCATCTTGTAGGGGGATAAAAAGGACAGATGAACTCAGCCGACTTACAACAAACCACATGCTCACCATCTGCTCCATATACATGTACAGAGAAGAAATAAATCATAGGCACACATATATATGCTAGAGTACTATAAATACAGATATACATTAAATAATAGAAATCAATCTGAGATAACCTATAGTGACTTCAAGTCTCAAATGTTTTAGCATCATTTCCCTTTTGTCTTTTTTCTCTTCTTAATTTCTTTACAATTAATGACATTACTCCATGAGAGTATTCTAAGAAGGCTAATCCAATAATCTGGTTGAACAATATTACTTTTATCCTAACTGATAATGAGAAAGTCTCAACTAATAGACCATTTCAAAAGATGGCAAATCATTAAGAAAATATAAGGTAAGGGTGTAAATGAGTTAGTTCAGAAGGTCGACTTGATAACTGATTCTTAAGTTGATCTCAATCACCTGAAAACCAAGCTTGAGTCTTACATGTCAAAGAGTGGTTCTTAGGGTGCGTTTGGGATGGCTGCAGCTGTCGGTAAAGCAGGATGTGAAATTGGTGTACATAAAGTTGCTTTCTGAAGTTGTTGTATAAAAATCATTATATTTTGTTTGGATAGTATAACTACAAAACTGCTGTGCTGCAGCTGCATGGGAATAAATTACGTTCGTATCCTTATGTATATAAAGAGAAAATAATTTTTTTAAAAATATAATTTTTTTCTTCGCCTCTTCTAATAATCTAGTTTTCTCTTTGACTATGGAATTTTTAGCTTTGGAAGATGGTTAGACTTGTGCATTTCAGCTTGAGTTTGCTGCTTCATCCTCATCTCCTGCTCCACATTCACATCATGCAATATCGTCTCTTCACTCTCGTCAAGCTCCATGTCTGTAAGTTAAGTTTGAGTCTTTGCAGGAAGAATTGCCTCGTGAGCTTTGCACTGGTCTGGATTCAGCGAGTCCGGGAAATAATAATAGCTTTAGGGACAATAAAGTTTAACCATATAGTATATACTTTTCTTCAAGAAAATTAATCCTACAAGCATACCAGCATTCTTCTATCCTGTCGCAAAGGGGCTTATTGAGCTTGCCTGGTTATCTCATTCCCATCCACAAGAAAGAACGCAGTATGCCTGAAGAAATTCATCATTTTTATTTTTGAATCGAGGTCAATGCTTGGGGTAATATACTAATATCTAATGCCTACTGCATATGGTGTAATCATCTCTATGCTGCTTGAAGAATACAGGAAATGGACGATGGCACCCAATTAGGGCAGAATGACCTTTTCTTTGGGAGTAAAGAGGAGGGCCTCCCATTCTCTGCACAAAGAAGTCATACTGATTCCTAATCCCATCCTCCTTTCTCGACCATGCGAAGATCGATCGAAACCATTCCTCGTCATCATAAACCCGGTTGTAGAAATTAGTGGACAAGTTAAGAAAAGGCTTAATGTCATCGTCAACAGCATTGAAGACATTGGTTTCGTCCATCGCAAAGGCGTCGCTCGCCGCGACGCCACTCCACACCGACGCTTTCTCCTGTAATGACTGCATCTCCTCTGCGACGTCTGCCATGGCGAAAAATTGTAGTCGAAAGCAGTGCTGAAGGCTTCGGACGACGGTCGTGAATATTTGCAGGGGAGAATTTACGTCATTTTTCTAGGAAAGCAGCGGACCGCGGGACCACGGGAAAGGTCTCGGAAAGCAACTAGGTGCCGCAAAATTTTTTCTAACGTGGTTGTGCCGCAATGCCCCAAACGCCGATTTAATAAATTTTTATAAAGCAAAGTAACTGTGCCGCCGTCCCAAACATACCCTTAATAATCTTTGAGAAAGTTGCTTTGGACCACCTAAATTTCAAAGAACTTAGATAGGAATGAATTTCTAGACTGATGTGATATATTTCATTAACCTTAGCATTAAACTCATGTTGGTCGTAATAATTTCCAGCTGTTTACACCAGCTTCTACAATTTGTGGCTATTATCACAACAAAAATGTTTCTTAATATTATTCCAAAGGTGTCACATGCAAACTCTGTGGCCAACATTAGGAAAGACAATTTTAATAGCTTCACCTAGCCCCTTCTCCATATCTGATATAATGGCTATATACTATACTTCAATACTAAAAGCTTTGGACAAATTCAAAAGAAACAATTCCATGCTTCTCTTTAATTAGATTCCATAATGATAAATGTAATAGTAAAGATACCATTATCCCCACCCAAACAATTCGTGGAAAGTAGTAGACATAAATACTTAGATTTTAGATGACAAGCATCAATGTCGATTAAATATCAACATCCGACGAAGAAGCCATCAATGCAAATCTTGAAACTAATAAAAAATCGCTTAAATGAATGGTTTTGGTTGTCACATAGATACATTATATGTTAGTTCGGGTTCCTATTGATTAACGTCGATTTAAGTGTGGGCACCCACTTGTAGTTATTATTTATTGAACCAAACAGTTGTTTTCTTGCTAATTCCCTTGCATGCCATATTTTCATGTATGGTAAAGACAAACTAAAAGTGGTCTCCAAGTTATTACCTACATACTTTATTTCAATATCATAATTCCTTTTTACAATATCCATGATTTCATTAGTAATCCAAGTAGCACTTGCTTGTCTGTTACTAGCTCTATTAACCCCTGGACATAAATGTGTCAAATTTAATTTTCTAACTCGATGACCATCTGAATATAATAAAGTACTTATTCGTCATGGACATCCACGATATGTGCATATAGCAATAACTATTGATTTGTCACTAGCTTTAATCTTGATATCAAAGTTTTGCAAACTTGCTTTTGAGTGAATAATATGTTTTAAACTTGATGAATCCTAAAAATGCGAACCAACACATAAAGAATGCATTTCTTCAACCTAAGCAGCAAAGCCACCATCACATAACCCATCTACTATTATGTCATTGGTCACCCTGCTATTCACACTTAAATATTGCATATTACCATACTAAATATCACCAACATTACTCAAATCTTTTTCAAGATCTTTCACTACAACCACCATCTTCACTTTATTACCATTACAGGAACATGTTAGCATGTTCATCACATCTATATAATTACTAATTAGCATGTAAAAGGCGATGTTCCATTAATATGATAGGTAGGTCATATAGGCTTGACCATGACCTGACCCCTAAGCCAACGATAAAGTGCTTTGGTTTGTTCTTTCAATAATAACACATTAATATCACATCTTTCAAACTTCAAAGTTTTTTTTTTTATTTTTACTAATATATTTCATCCTGCTTTAACCCTTCACAGCAACCCAATATCCTCCTTATTTGAAGACAGTAGAACATAAATTGTTACAGTCCATATCTGTGAGTCCAGTTATTAATGAAAAAAATTTCAAGCAATAAACATGAACAAGTTGGAGAACACGAAAATAGAAGCATAACTAGAGAATGTTTACAATCTCTGCAGAAGAATAAGTTCAAACAAATTTTTTTCTTTTATGTAAAATTTCTCCAATCTCCACCACAACAACAACAGAATGTCGTATTTGCATAATGAATACAAAAATTACCTAAAGATAACCGGCATGACAAGATTTGCAAGAAATTTTGGAGAGATATTCAGACGTTTGCATCGGTGTGGTAATATGAGCATTGGTTCGATGGGAAGGAGAGAAGGGGAGCTGCTTTGTTTCTCAAAATGGAGGTTCAATTCAACGCGAAAAAGAGTTGCTCAGAGATGTTTCCCGCATGCAAAATTCTGTTTTTGCGAATTGGTTTTGATGGAGCAGATGGAGTGTAAGAGTGTTATATTTGATGAGGGCTGAGTCTTTACGATGGTAAAAAGGTAAAAACTAAAATTTAGGTATTATATAAGTAAATAAAGATATTTTGAATATTAGGTACGTAAAATTTAGGCATAAACTTTTAAAAATATATGTAACCGTACTCCGCACTTATTAATCTTTCCCACAGTGGAGGTATTTGCCCGGTTCCTTCCCCTACCTCGGCCTTCCTGACCTCTTCGCCATTTTTATTTCAACTGCATTGGTTTAAAAAACCAGCGGATCGATCACTTCATTGCCACTCAAGGCCAAGAAAGCGAAACCTCAACTGAATCGAAGAATGTGCGTTGGGATTACCAATCGCATTGCTCGTCGATCCCTTCGCATTGGAGGAAGGAAGGGAACAATGAACCAGATCAATAGCAGGAGTGCAAGTAGACGTAACTGAGGACTGCTTTCTCAATTACTGTACTAGTCTCTTTTCTTTCGGAATTGAGGCAAACGATGCAAATCCAAGAGCGTGGCACCGCCGACGGGGCCGCTAATATCTCAAAACCCTTTCCCCGTCCTCTCACCTATCTGGACTCCCCAATCCGCGGCAAGAAGAGCCGAGATCTCTCATTCGCTTCCTCGCCTTCCTCCTGCAACACGTACAAGCTGTTCGCCCTCTTTATCCTCATCGCCTCCATTGCTGCCCTCTTTTTCCTTCGAGGTACTAGTGATGGAGCCGCTCTTCTTTGCCTTGACAACCGCCCGGCTCGTTCCCTCCCCGCAACCATCACTTATCCCGATATCTCCTGGTCCACCGTCCCCGCAATCCACGCCGTCGACCCGGCCGCCGTCGCTCCCTTTGCCTCCTTTCGCTCAGAACGATGGATCGTCGTCTCAGTGTCCGCTCCTCCCACAGATTCACTCCGCCTCCTAGTTAAAACCCGAGGCTGGCAACTTCTCGCCGTCGGTAACTCCCATACACCGGTCGACTGGTCCCTCAAAGGTGCTATCTTTCTCTCCCTGGATCTCCAGTCTCGCCTCGGCTTCCGCACCGTCGACTTCCTCCCTTATGCCTCGTATGTCCGCAAATCCATCGGGTATCTCTTCGCCATCCAGCATGGCGCGAAGATCATCTATGATGCCGACGACCGGTCCGACATCCTTGGCGGGGACCTCTCCAAGCATTTCGACCTCGACCTTGGTGCAGCCGCCGGTGCTGCTTCCGGTTACCCTGTCCTTCTCCAATACAGCCGCACTGCTGACAACAACCGAACTATCGTAAACCCCTACGTGCACTTTGGCCAACGTTCGGTGTGGCCGAGGGGCCTTCCACTAGAGAGCGTTAAGGAGGTCAGCCACGAGGAGTTCTACTCGGAGATCCGTGGCGGTGGGCAATTTATCCAACAAGGGCTCTCTAATGGTCTCCCTGACGTCGACTCCATCTTCTACTTCACACGAAAGTCGTCACGGTCGGAGCCTTACGACATTCTTTTCGACGAGGATGCTCCCAAGGTTGCATTGCCACAGGGCTTAATGGTTCCTGTTAATTCCTTCAACACCATCTTCCACTCCCAGGCTTTCTGGAGCCTCATGCTCCCTGTCTCGGTGAGCTCCATGGCGTCTGATGTAATCAGGGGTTATTTTGCGCAGAGGATTATGTGGGAAATTGGAGGCTATGTGGCAGTCTATCCACCTACTATTCACAGGCAGGACAAGGCGGAGGCATACCCATTTTCAGAGGAGAAGGATCTTCATGTCAATGTTGCTAGGCTGATTAAATTTTTGGTCTCTTGGAGATCAGCCAAGCCAACTATTTTTGATAGAATTTTGGACTTGAGCTATGCTATGGCAAACGAGGGTTTTTGGGCAGAGAAGGATATGTTGCTCACAGCTGCCTGGCTTCAGGATTTGATTTCTATTGGGTATCAACAACCAAGGATGATTTCGCCGGAGCTGAACCAGGTGAAGGAGGCCAGCAGGCTAGGAGATCGGAGGGAGTTTGTACCTAGGAAAATTTCTTCGATCCATCTTGGTGTAGATGAATCTGGCAGTGTGAATTATGAGATTGGGAATCTCATACGGTGGAGGAGGAGCTTCGGGAATGTGGTGCTCATTATGCACTGCAGTGGTCCTGTGGAGCGCACAGCTCTTGAATGGAGGTTGCTGTATGGGAGGATTTTTAAGACTGTAGTCATTCTGTCAGAACACAATAGCACTGATTTGGCTGTAGAATATGGAGAGCTATCAATAGTTTACAAGTAAGTTTTCTGGACGTTCTTATCCAAGTACCATAGAAACAGAAAATTTTTACCTGCAGTGTAGCTAAATTCCTGCATCCGATGCTTAGTTATAATCTAATTTAAATGACATATTTTGAATTATTATTATTTGTTTGTTTTAAATGAATTTAATCTCCATGTCTTTATCTCAGTTTAGTCCAGCATCCATTGTTAGCAATAGCTGTTTGCGCTTCATGTTATTTAGGCTTTTGACCTTTTTGGTCAGTGAGGGAATTATCATCCGATGGGTCTTGTTTGCAATATTTCCAGTTTATATAAATCTAATAGCACAACGGCATTGTGGATGCTATTAAGGTGCTCAGTCTTTTGGGGTGGATTTGTTTCTTGAATGCTAGGGATGAATGTTTTAGAGCTTTTGCAAATGACTTTATGAAGTTGGAAACATATGTTGGGATGTGAAACCACGCAACAACAAAAAGACAAACAAGAAAAAGTAAACAGCAGAAAAGTACACCAAAATTTAACCGGGAAAAACTCAAAATTAGGAAAAAATCATTGAGCCACACCACACCAAGAAATTCACTATGAAAATGAGGGAAATTGTACAGACCGTTCTTCTCTCACTCTCTCCTTGCCTCACTTCACTTCACACATAGTTATCTTCTTAAAGCAGATAAGAGATGCACTTGAAAAACATTCAAAGGCACAACCCTTTCAAGTGAAATAAAAAGAAGAGGGAAGAAAACTGATCAGCTCGACTCTGGCATGACGCTAGGGATGGAGTGCCACAACGTTTATGTCTCTGTCTTCAACTTGAACTTGAAGCGCTGCAGTTCTCTAGCATATAATGTTGCGGCGTTGTATGGATGTATAGACAATTTTTTTTTTCAAAGTTTTCAGTCGACAATACAACTTAATTGATCGGCACCATCAGACACACCCGCCAGGCATTAAATGAAGAAAATCTGAATGCAATAAACTTACTATAGCCATAGAAAATCGCCATAGAATATTTATAAAAGTTTTATCTTGTGGTCTGATTCATTTTGCAAGAGACATGTAGATGACTTCTAGTATAGTAATGTAAATTCTGAGCATCGTAACGATCTTGGGAGGTCCCTTGAAGAAAACATGTTATGGGGGTAGTGATAAGGTCGGGATCTGGGTACTAATGCGTGAATCCAAAATTAGATTTGCAGTTTCTGTAGCAGCGGGGATTAGTTTTGCTTGGTTATCTGTGAGGGAGAAACCTAAACAGAGAAAATAGGTGATGGGCAAGGTTCAAAGTTTTCTGGATGATATACGTTTCACCAGTCAAGATTCAATGCAAGAGATTTGAATGAGATTCAGAATGTTTATTTAATAAGATTGTGCTGCAGTACACTTGAAATGGCCTTCTCAAAGTTCTTGCTATGGTAACATTACCAGGTGTATTAGCAATTTATCCTTTCCTATATCAAATATAGATTTATTAATATTCTTTTTTCTTATTAAAAGCTTTGTCTATGCATAATTTTAAATACCAACTTAGTATATTATGTTACAATCAATTATAAGAAAATATACCGGACTGGATTTGTTAAATGATTCACTGAAATACTAAATTACCCATCATTGCATGTGTATATCATTACACAGTCAATCCTAGGAAAATATACCTGATTAGAATTCTAAGTTGTTATGCTTGTTAAATGATTTGCTGAATACTGTATTACCCATCTTTGCAAATGTACACTGGTAAAATCTGGGATCATTTGATGCTGATCAACCAAACTATAACAAACACACTGATTCAATTTTTGTATGATAGTTGATAAATTGTTTGTGCATTAGAGTGCTTCCATATTCGATAGTACTTAGTTCTATTTAAGTTTATAGCTGCATTCGATTGCACTTTATTTTTGTTTTGTATTAGAACTTTATTTTTTGCTTGACGGATCTTTATATATCTTTCTTAGGCAACTTTATCGAATTAGTGCTAGCATGGTGATTTATGTACTGCTTTGCTTGGTCAAATCTTAATGGTTGGCTAATTAAGTGACAAAAATGTATAGTATTATTGTTGGATTAACCATGTAATAAGATGTTTGATCACTCATTTCAAATGTACTTAGGATGAGGATGCTATAAAGTTAGGCATAAACAGAATCATCATCATAATTCACTTTATTCCAACTATTTGGGCTCGACTTTTTGGTTTTTTATTTTTTTCCTTCTTGCTAAGTGCAACTGCATTAGGTGTTAACTTATTGTTTATAAATATTTTTTAAAAAATTTTATTTGTGTTACGTTAAGTTTACCTATTTTTTTTTCTAATCTTACATTAATAATTTATCCACATGTTTGATGGAATATTTTTTGCTCTTTATTTTACCTGGCCAATCCACCTATTTCTATTTTCCATGATCTTTTCTTAATAGATGTTAACTCTTTACCATCTTTCTGATATATTCATTCTTAATTTATCCTTTCTAATTTTTTCATATATTCCTCTTAACATTCTCATTTCCCCAAAGCTTAACTTTTCCATTACCAACACTTTTTTTACTGCCTAGCACTTTAGAGCACAAAACATGATGGATCTAACAATTTTATAAAATTTATCTCGAGTCTTTTCGATATTTTTTTTCATTGCATAATACTTCTAAGGCATTTTTTTATACTTACCATCTACCCATAACTTCATTATATATATATATATATATCCATTTTTTATATAATAGATCTAATATTATTATCTTCTAGTACTATTGACTGATTATTGTTGATGTCCAATACACTAATATTGCATTTTATTTACTTATTCTTTATTTTATTCTTTCTTAAACCATTTATCTTCTATAAATTTTCTCTATTATTTTAATTTCTTAAACCTTTACTGATTATTGTTGATGTTCCGTTTGACTCGAATGCTCGGTCGGTCGCATCTTGCTTGAGCTCGCTGCTCGACTTTGTCTGCTCGCACTTGCACTCGCCTCTTCTCCCTCCCCCTCGACCACTCACACTCAATCGAGTTAGCGGGGTGGGTCGGGTCAGGTCGGGTTGGTGTTGGGTCTAGATTTTTAATCCGTTTGGACAAACGGGTCGGGTTCGGGTCGGGCGTGTTAAGAGTGGGTCAATTCCGGGTTTGACTTGAACTCGACTCGAAAACTTATTTTGACACCGCTAGCCACCACGGTTTGGTGGGTGGTGGGTGTAGCTTGCTCAATTGGGATGATGGGAAGAAAAGAGTATGTTAGAAGCTAGAGCAGAATGAAACAACTATTATGAGGTTCACTTACTTCCATCAAATTATGAGCAGCTATTATATTTACAATATCAGAGATGCACTCTGGTATACTTTGCTAGTTCTTACTCAGAAGAATTTTGTTGACTTAGAAAGGAACCGAAGTTGGTGGCTAGGTATATTGGAGGGCTAAAAGAATCCATACAAGTTATGTTGGAAATGAGTGCAATCTGGCGCTTGTCACAAACAATGATTTATGCTTACAATTCTGAACTTCAATTCAAACATGGCCACCGGACTTCTAACTCCCTACGCGTTACTCCTGGGCAAAACTCCAAACAAACGAAAGCAACCACCTAAACTGTTAAGGAAACATCCTTCAATCACAAAACAATGCGACTGCTATTGGTTTGCAAGATGCTAAGGCACCTCCAAAGATTGGGAGTTACCGTGATAATATATATAACTGACCAGGTCCAGCCAAATTCTTCTGGCGTTTCAATCCGGAACATAGATCAAATGAATGTTGAGATAGAAAGCAAGCAAAAACCTGGATAGGGAATCAGACAAAAATAATTTCGAGACACCAATCCTTGAAATTGAAGAGGCTAAAGATTTACCTGGTGATAAAGGTGATTTCCTTTCATATGCGCTTTAAAAAGTACTAATTGCACCAAAACAACCTATAGACAAAGTCATTGTACTTGATGCACAAGTAGCTGAAAGATGTGTGATTTGTCGGTTGACAATGGTTGCACGAGAAATATAATTTTAGTAAAGGTTGTCAATGCGCTCAACTTGAATACTTTAAAACACACACACACACTATGACCAAATCTAATGGATAAAAAATGAGGTAGAAGTGCCTATCTGATGTAGGGCTACGTGCAAAGGCAAATGCAATTGATTAGAAAATTACCCATACATGAGTAGAGCTTTTCAATTAATTAATCTTCTCGCATTTCTTAACAAAGTTCTAAGCCAACAAGATAATGATTAAGCTTAGACAATCAATTACATAAGAAAAGATTAGAATCATAAAATAGTCACATCAATTTAGATCATGCTAATGTTGGGGTTTCAAAAGAGAATCCCCAATTTAACAATTAGAATAGTTACTATAAGGTTCCACTAACTTACACTCATAATTTGGGGCTATGCGGATAAATCTTCATGGTTAAACGATACCATGATTGAGGGAGGATTAGAAGGAGCGAAGAAGGGAGAGAGTTTACCGACAAAGTAGGAGATATGAAGCAACAGTGGTAGTGTTGTCTGTTTCTGAAATAAGGGTAGCAATACGACTTCTTCTGATGCGGACATCCAACCGTCCATGTCTATCCGAGGAGCTGAAGATCAACGGCTGTCATCGTCCCACGTTATCTTATATTTTATTTGTAATTTTTAAATTTTTATTATGAATTTTCCGTTTTTACCCTCACTTAAGAGGGTCGTCCTATGTAAGCCTTAGGGGCATATGTGTCTTGTTTTAATTTCTTAGGCCTATATATAGAGGCCCTTTCTTATGTAATGGGATGATGAATTGATAATGAAATTTTATTCTACTTGTTTGATCTCTTAGTGAGTTCATGAGAGGAGAATGATCTCTTTGTGAGTTCCGAGATTCCCAATATCTCTTTGTGAGTTCTTGAGGAAGTGGCGCTTGTAGATCTCTTTGTGAGTACTATTGGAGGTGTTGCTCGAGGTGTGTAGCTCCGCATTTTCTTTTTCCTAAACCCAATTTATTTCTTCTCTACCTAACCAAACTCTCTTCCTCCCAAATCCCCTCCAC